GAAAAACCTGAGATGAGCTCATGAATCCCTCTGTGCCTCAGTTCCCTCTTTTGTACCATGTGAAGAATCAGAGCAGCTCGCATATAGGGCGACCGAACATGTGAAATGAGTGGCTTCGGTAGAGCATTGGGGGCAGTAGCAGCCAGCCCTCCTGGGTGCTGGAGAAGTGTGGGTCACCCTCACCCCACCTTCAGGCCACATTTCCAATAGCTTTCCTTCTGTAGAGGGTCTGCCAGCGCAGGTGAGGAATTCACCGTTTTCCTCTAACACAGTGGTTCTCAATCTTGGCTGCACATTAGAATCACCTGGGAATCTTTTAAAAATCCTGACTTCTGGGCCTCATCCTCCGGAAATTCTGTTTCTTTGTGATGGGGTGGGGCCACAACATGAGTCACAAAGAAACAGAATTTCCGGAGGATGAGGCCCAGAAGTCAGGATTTTAAAAAGATTCCCGGGTGATTCTAATGTGCAGCCAAGGTTGAGAACCACTGGGCTAACAAGTTCTACCAGCTGGCTTGGGACCACGTTCTCTAAACTGGTGGGTCTTTTGACTGGGCTCAGCTGTCCTGCATACAGATGGTCTCCAGGATACTCGGCATCCGACAGAGCTCTTTCATTGTGAGTGATGGGCTTTATTGCTTCAACAAACTTATCCAGGGCCTAACACCTGCTGCCTGTGTCCGCGTGTGTGTCCGTGTGTGTGTGTGTGTGTGTGTGTGTGTGTGTGTGGTGTTGCGCATGCACACCCATGACTACTGAGGCAAGGATGTAACCTCCTCATCTCAAAGGTGCCTATAGTTTTTAACAAGAGCACAAATAACCTAAATGTTTAACCAAGAGCCTGAGAAGAGACAAGACAGTGGGACCCTGGGTCTGGGCCGAATTTGAGAGAATCAAGCCGTAAGGACGCAGCATGGAACACTAGTACCTGGTGTAGTTTTTTTTTTTTTTTAAATATATTTTATTGATTTTTTTACAGAGAGGAAGGGAGAGGGATAGAGAGTTAGAAACATCAATGAGAGAGAAGCATCGATCAGCTGCCTCCTGCACACCTCCCACTGGGGATGTGCCCGCAACCAAGGTACATGCCCTTGACCGGAATT